ACGCATAACTGATTGAGGAATCGGAGAGCCGAGTTCGAATACCAGTCGAATCCATTACATTTACTCACGTGCTAATACCCTTGAGAAAGCCATGAATCCTCTTCCTCTCCTCTCCCCCAAGCTATGGGTAAATAACAAGACAGACCTTGGATGATCTACTGCAGAAAGAAATGGCAACCTACTGCGGGAAAAAATCTGCCTTGTCAGTCATGTATCTAAAGTTACCTGATCGCCTAAGCATGTAACACACATGACACATAACTGACTGACTGACTATTCCTCTTCTTCTGCTCTCTACTGTGTCCCTTCAGAAGTGGAGGATCATGACTCTCCACGACATCCCTTATCCACACCAAATGGAAAACATTAAGAACACTAGAAAAACTCCATAAAAAAACTGATGACTTATTACTTGCGAAAAGTAGGAATCCTCTTCTTCTCCCCACCCCAAGCTATGGGTAAATAGCAGAACAGACCGGGTTCTATAGCTTTGGATGGCAACTGGACTACTGCAGAAAGAAATGGCAATCTACTGCATACAAAAAATCTGTCTCGTCAGTCATGTATCGAAAGATACATGATTGCCTAAGCGTGTATCACGCATGGCACGTAACTGACTGACAGTGAAGGTTGACGAAAGGACAAAAGATGAACGGGACTCAAGAAGACAGAAGATAGCGATTGACGTTGTATTTAAATTTTCGAAGATTGTCGAAGGGAGTTCCACAGGCGGGAAGTGCTAGACAAGAAACTGCTGGAGTATGAAGTGGTGGTTGCATTTTGCTAATTCAACGGTAAGCGGTTGGGAGCTGCATGGCAAACTTGCGGCACGCTTAAATTCATGCAATCAGGGCATCATGGAGAAAAAAAAATTCACCTGGCTTCCCTCTGTCTTTTCTACAAATATTTTCATACTGCCCTGGCGAGCTTTATTTTCTTTCCTGGTGCCCTGACTACGTGAATGCAAGGGTGCTACTAGAGTGGCATGTAGGTCCCACCCTTCTACTGTTGAAATAGAAAAATAAAAAACCGCCACTTTATACCCCAGCAATTTCTTTTTTCGCACTTCTCGCCTGTGGAACTCCTTTCCGTTTACTGAATCCCTGATAACTACAATCTTCAATTATTTAAATGCAACGTTAGTCGACATCTTCAGTCTTCTTGAATCCCGTTCATCTTTTATATTTTCCTTAATTCCCCTTAGACCCTTTCTTTTCTCTCACTTCCACTCTCTGTAACTCCCTGGGTACTAGTGACAACCCCGCCTTTCTTTAGGTAAATGATCAATATATATATATATATATATATATATATATATATATATAGGCAGCAGCAATTTTTCATTAATGCATGTTTCATTAAATAATATAGACAGTAATATAGACTAATATCTAGTAGTGAGTACCACTAATTGGAATGTCGGACGTGCTCACGTCATCACCCTCTGATTCTTCTTCCTCTTCTACACAGTGTTTTGTAGACAGTTGAATTATAGGTACTTACTACCTATAATGTAATCATTCATGGGGGTGCCTAGTTATTCCATAACATCATCTATTTTAGTCGATAAGCAAAACTGTAAAAAAAGTTGTAAAAGATTTTAAAAAAGTCTATTCAAAGAATAAAATTTGTTAGATGATAATTAATAAAAACAAAAAATAAATAAAAGTGTATATAACAGCATAATACTGCTGGGCACAAATTATAAAACAAAATGTTTTATATTTGCATTATTTATTGAAAATCACACTAAAACTACAGCACTGTATAATATATTACATCATAATGTAGCAAAATTATTTCCCTTTAAAGTAAATGAAGGTCTTATTTGATGGTACAATGATTTAATAACAATATTAGCCATGCATCTTGTCTATGTACAATTTGTAGAGCTTCAGTCAATTATAAATTTTATAAGGCTCTCCTATAAGGCTTTCACTGATCATTGGAATGAAATTTCCACACTACGATTTTGAACCTAAACTTAATCTTTAAACTTGATGTGATTGTCTGAAAAATGTACAGGAATAATCATTTTCCACAGATTTTGCTTACAAACTGACTTCAAAATTTTATTATTTCAAGAATAAATCCAAATAAAATTGATATTTTTACATCACTGAATGTAAATGCAATGTCAATCGTTATCTTCTGTCTTCGTAATTCCTGTTCTTCTATTGTTCCTTCTCTTTAATTTTGTTCATATTCTCAAACACACAGTGTTATATTCCGTGCTAAGGGAATAAATACTTGACAACAGGTGGATAATAGAAGAAAGGTTTATTTTACACAACAAGTACAATATGAAATACGGTACAGTTATACACACAGGTCAATCTATTAGTGAGTGTCACTAATTGGAAGGTCAGACGTGCTTGCGTCTTCACTCTCTCACTCTCCTTCCTCTTCTACACGGTCTCTCGTAGACAGTTGACTTTATAGGTACTTAGTACCTATAGTGTAATCATTCATGGGGGTGCCTGGTTATTCCATTACATCAGTGATTGATATTGCATTTTAAATTTTTGAAGATTAAATCGAAAGCAGATTGAATGGAAAGCATATAGGGGGGGGAGGGAAAGTGTACCACAAGCAAGAAGTGCGAGAAAAGAAACTGTTTACATAGAACTTACAGTCACATCTAGCCAGTTAAACTATAGACTGATGAAACCTCATTGTACTGAGCTTAAATTCAAAATGTCTCGGTACGATAACGAAGAACTTATCCGAACGATTACCATGAAAGGATTTATAGAAAAGGCACAGGGCAGCAACTTTACAACAGTGGGAAAGTGACTGAAGCCAAGATGCCAGGTGAGGTCCAATAATATTAATAGTAATGTTGCATTCATTTTTTTCACTAATAGCCTTGGGAAGAGGATCAATCCATCTCATCTTTGAGATTAAATAGCTGGGTACATTGGATTCTCTAGCCCTGGGTAGCAGCTAGTCTAAAAAACAAAAAACAAAAACAAAAAACAAAAACATTACTATAAGGCTTTTAGTGATCATTGGAATGAAATTCCAACGATACGATTTTGAACCTAAACGTAATGTTTAAACTCATTTCCTCAAAAAGCGGTAACGATTTTGATAAAAAACAAAAACATTTTGCTTCTTTATTTATCATGTGAGACCCCAACTTTCGAATTAAGTGCAATGCCACGGTTTCAAAATCGACCTGCCCTACACGGTTATGAATCAGTCTGTGTATTTTTTTTTAACAGAAACATATATATATATATATATATATATATATATATATATGCATGTTTCATTAAAACGACAGACAAGGTACTACGGTTAATCTTTTTATTTAATTTTTCTTGTGTGCGAACAAGAGCTTTCTTTTTTCTGGACAAAGGGGTGTAAGAACTGTCCAAATGTTTTATATTTCCGAGCGCTTTCGGCTATACCTTTAGCCATTATCAAGGATGATTTGATTTTTCAGATTAATTGAGTGTGTGCGTTCTGTGTATGTCTTAGTGTGTGGTAGGGATGTTTTTCATATCCGAATACGGTTAGCACATTGTGGCCTTGTTCTTAGTTAATATTGTTAAGAGTTGGCTTTTTCTTTTTTATTATTAAAGCTTCCATTATGTTTAGTCTTTTTTGCAGATGGATGCAGTTAATATATTTGTGTTTTCTACTAGTATGTTCCTAATGGAGTCGGGTAAATTTGTGTGTGTGTTTAAATAAGTTCTAATGGAGCTGTGATCAGATAGGTGTAACGTAAGACGTCTGGATAAGCATGTAGTTGTGTAACCGATGTAATTATTTATGAGTCCGGTTTGATCAGGAACAAAGTTCCTTAAGGGGCATTTGAACTCATAGATAATGTTCGTTCTTTGTAATTTTGACTTAGTTGGTGTGTTCTTATTTTTGAGGATAAGGTTGGTTGTCTTAAATTTTTTATAATAGATAATAAATTTGATTTTTTTATTCGGGTCAATTCGGGTAGTATATTTTTTTATAATATGTCTTAGTCTTGTATGTAATTAATGTGCATTTGTTTTTTTATAAATGTTTATGTAATTCTTGACTGTGTTCACTATCATTATATATATATATATATATATATATATATATATATATAGATATATATATATATATATATATATATATATATATATATAGAGAGAGAGAGAGAGAGAGAGAGAAAGAAGAGCGAGAGAGTCGAACCCCGACACCAGCACGTAAAAATTTGCTTATAGTGGTGAAGGTTTCATGTAGGACTATCCATACTTTTTGAAGGGCCGAATTCAGAGACCTGGTGCACTACGTGCCACAAGGTCCACAAACGATCCTCCACACGTTTTAAATTCAGAGTTGTCCTTCTCCTAGACCAGTTGCCATCCAAGGCTATAGAACCCAGTCTGTCCTGCTATTTACCCATAGCTGGATGGAGAAGAAGAGGATTCATACCTTTCCCAAGGGTATTAGCATGTATACAGTGAATATAATGGATTCGACTGGAATTCGAACTCGGCTCCAATCCAAGCCGCTATCTACCGTATCCCCTTCATTATCTATCTATCTATCTATCTATCTATCTATCTATCTATCTATCTATCTATCTATCTATCTATCTAAGTCTTCTCCTATCTATCTATCTATCTATCTATCTATCTATCTATCTATCTATTTTAACAACACTTGTTATTATATACTAGCCCTCAAAAGAATTTATGACTAAGAAGTAATTACCACTATTCAGTCGAAATGACGTAGACATACATCCCCACATACCTACCCTCTCCCATTCCCCTTTATGTAACCTGAAATTCAATCAACACAAGACCTTTCCTATTGCTACATGTTCTCCCAGGCCTCCAGGCCGGCCATATTTCAATAAAGGAACTAATTTTGCGAAGCAAAAATAAAAATAAAATTGTCCGATATTTCTTTTTAATTTTTTTTTTTTAAAAATAAAGCCTTCAGGAATCTCCAGTGCATTATTAATATTATTATTATTATTGTTGTTGCTTCTAGTGTTATTATTATGATTGAATGGGAAAATGCATAACGTTTGTCTGTATTGATGTTTGCGAATGGGCTGGGGAAGAGGGGTGGTGCGTGAGGCATGCGCGCGTCGTCAGGGAGACTGATTTACGACACTGAGCTGAGAGAGAGAGAGAGAGAGAGAGAGAGAGATACACGAAGAAACGGAGAGATAGGCAGGAGGTGGGGCGGGCAGAAAGGATCGATACATACAGGCTGATAGATAGATAGCTAACTTGATAGATATGAATAGATAGATATGAACAGATTATATTAGATAGATATGAATAAAAGATAGAGCGATAGCTACATAGATAGATAGACAGATAGATAGATAGATAAATAGATAGAAAGATAGATAGATATAAAAAGAGTGAAATAGATATGAAGATATAGATAGATATGAAGAAACTTAGATATGAAGAGACTGAGATAGATAGATAGATAGATAGATAGATAGATAATGATGACACTGAGATAGATCAAACGATTGATAGATAAATAATGAAGAGACTGAGATAGATAGATAGATAGATAGATAGATAGATAGATAGATAGATAGATATGAAAAGACTGATCTAGATATGAATATATAGATAGATATGAAGAGACTTAGATATGAAGAGACTTAGATAGATAGATAGATAGATGTGAAAAGACTGAAATAGATAGATATGAAGAGACTTAGGTAGATATGAATATATAGATATATATGAGGAGACTGAGATAGATAGATAGATAGATATGAAAAGAATGAGATAGATAGATAATGAAAAGAATGAGATAGATAGATAGATATGAAAAGCCTGATCTAGATATGAATATATAGATAGATATGAAGAGACTTAATGAAGAGACTTAGATAGATAGATAGATAGATAGATAGATAGATAGATAGATAGATATGAAAAGACTGAAATAGATAGATATGAAGAGACTGAGGTAGATATGAATATATAGATATATATGAAGAGACTGAGATAGATAGATAGATAGATAGATAGATATGAAAAGAATGAGATAGATAGATAGATAGATAGATAATGAAAAGAATGAGATAGATAGATAGATAGATATGAAAAGCCTGATCTAAATATGAATATATAGATAGATATGAAGAGACTTAGATATGAAGAGACTTAGATAGATAGATAGATAGATAGATAGATAATGAAGAGACTGAGATAGATAGATAGATAGATAGATAGATAGATAGATAGATAGATAGATATGAAAAGACTAAAATAGATAGATATGAAGAGACTGAGGTAGATATGAATATATAGATATATATGAAGAGACTGAGATAGATAGATAGATAGATAGATAATGAAAAGAATGAGATAGATAGATAGATAGATAGATATGAAAAGCCTGATCTAGATATGAATATATAGATAGATATGAAGAGACTTAGATATGAAGAGATTGAGATACATAGATAGATAGATAGATAGATAGATAATGAAAAGAATGAGATAGATAGATAGATAGATAGATATGAAAAGCCTGATCTAGATATGAATATATAGATAGATATGAAGAGACTTAGATATGAAGAGACTGAGATAGATAGATAGATAGATAGATAGATAGATAGATAGATAAGAAAAGAGTGAGATGGATATGAATATTTAAATATGAAGAGACTTAGATAGATAGATAGATAGATAGATAGATAGATAGATAGATAGATAGATATGAAGAGACTGACATAGATAGATAGATAGATAGATAGATAGATAGATAGATAGATAGATAGATAGATATGAAGAGACTGAGATAGATATGAATATATTGATAGATATGAAGAGACTTAGATATGAAGAGACTAGGATAGATAGATAGATAGATAGATAGATAGATAGATAGATATGAAAAGAATGGGATATATAGATAGATAGATATGAAAAGAGTGAGATAGATATGAATATATAGATAGATATGAAGACACTGAGATAGATATGAAGAGACTGAGATAGATAGATAGATAGATAGATATGAAGAGACTGAGATAGAGAGATAGATAGATAGATAGATAGATAGATAGATAGATATAAACAAACTGACATAGATAGATAGATAGATAGATAGATAGATAGATAGATAGATAGATAGATAGATAGAAAGGTAAATAAATATGAACAGAGATAGATAGATAGATAGATAGATAGATAGATAGATAGATAGATAGATAGATAGATAGTTATAATGTTTGAACACAATCGTCATGGTGGATAGATAGAATTCATGAAAGGAACAGGCTGTCAACGCTCAGCGTGGAGCAGAGTTCCCACTTATATTGGTGGACTCTCCCGTCGTAGTCGACGTATTAGGATCAAGCAGCTCATCTCTCAGGAACCGAACGCCCAGACACCAGCACATAAGATTTGATTATAGTGCTGAAGGCTTTATGCAGAACCATCCACACTTTTTGAAGGGCCGAAGACAGAGACCTGATGTACTACGTGCCACAAGGTCACCAAACAACCCTCTGCA